GCGAGGTTGGCTAAACTGTCTGCTAGCCTATTCGCATCCCGATAAACATGAGAGACTCGGACCAGCCAGTCTCTTGACATAAAGCCATAGCACAAACGTGCCAGGAACGAAAGAGGGTGAGTATCACTAATCCCTTCTGTTAAGAATCCCATCACAATCTTAAAGTCGATCTCAAGCTCCACTCGAGCTGCTCTGGCTTCCCACACTATGAACAATCCATAATAAACTCCCCAGAGTTCCGCTAGAGGAGCAGAGCATATCCCAATGTTTAGTGAAAAACCTCCACACCAATTTCCAACCTCATCTCGCAAGACTCCCCCTGCTGTAGCCTTTCCTGGGTTACCATGCGATGCCCCGTCTGTATTAAGCTTCCACCATCCACATGACGGAGGTTTCCAGGATATGAATCTCTCCACCCGTACTGCAGGATAGGTATTACCTCGGAGATTCGAATGTGCCACTGTCACCTCATTTGCGAGATCCTTAATGAAATGCACTCTGTCCCTGCATCTTCCAGACCCGCCAAAGACATTAATGCACCTCCATTTCCACCCCCACCAAACATCCATTGCAAATAGGGTTGACCCCGGAGATCCTGTTTCATCCGAGTTCACCCCTAAGTTGTCAAAAACCCACCCCAGCAGAGATTTCTCAAAGAACTGTCTCCGCTTCCTCCAATGAACCACTCGATTCCATATTCCTGCCATAGCGGGGCAATCCCGCAGGACATGTAAAATGGATTCATCCCCACCTTTACAAACCTGACAGACTCCTGAGTCACTAAGGTGTCTCTTCTGCCTCTCCAGATTTGTTATAATAGCCTGATGTGTCACCAACCACAAGAACACCTTAACTCTCTCTGGAGCCACAACACGCCATACCCGATCACACAAACTCTGCATATTTTATCGATGATGTGATTTGCGAGTCAGAAAAGCGTGTGCTGACTTCGCCGTGAAGCTTCCGTCTTGAGTTTCCCCCCATGAGATTCTATCTCTTGCACCAGTCACATTGTCTAACACTACTGCAGAGAGTTGCATAATAACGTGAGTTGAGACATATGGGCTAATAACTGGGAGTAGCCAGCCAGTCCTGTTTCTCCACAGTTCCCGAGCTTCAAGATCAACTATCTCCTCTGGAATCTTGCTCGTGGCCATATCTACTAACGGAACATTCAGAAGCCATTTATCTCGCCAAAATCGGATTTTACGGCCATCCCCTATTATCCACCTCAGCCTCGGAATCACTACCTCCCTCACTCCATCCACAACACTCCTCCAAGTAGAAGACCAGTTCCCTTTTCTCCTTAACCATGATGTGTCACTTAGGTCTGTAACCTTATACTTGCTGCGTAATATATTTTCCCAGAGGCTAGAATGATCATAGAGAAGCCTCCATCCCAGTTTCGCGAGTAGAGCTTTATTAGTATCCTGAGCCAAGCGGATACCCAAGCCTCCATCACGCTTTGGTTGACAAACCCTTTTCCATGAGATAAGGTGTTGCTTCTTCTTCTTAGTTGTATCCCCCCACAAAAAGGAGCGCGATATTCGATCTAGGCGATTCAGTGTTGCTCTAGGGAGTTGTATGGTACTCATGGTGTGGATGGGGATCGATGACAGGACTGATTTAGTTAGTGTAATCCTTCCTGCAAGACTCAACAGACTTCCTTTCCACCCTGTTAACCGTGATGAAACTCTCTCAAGGAGAAACCCAAACATATCCTTGTTAATCCGCCTTTGGAGTAGGGGCATCCCCAAATATTTACCAAGATCACGTGTAGACTGTATTCCACTTTCTCCACTTATCCTGGTTCCCAATTCATGGCTCACATTCCCGGAGAAGAAAATCTTAGATTTCTCTAAGCTGACCTTTTGTTCTGAGGTGACGCAAAACCTCTCGAGAACACTCCTTATCACTCTGATTTGTGAGACAGACGCTTCCCCAAACAGTATGAGATCATCGGTAAAACATATATGAGATAACTATGGCTCTCCACGCGAAATTTGGATTGGTTTCCACTGCTTGTTAGCAATGGATTCGTCAATCAATTGACATAACCTCTCAATGCATAAAACAAACAAATACGGGGAGAGTGGATCATCCTGCCGTAGCCCTCGTTGAGGCTTGAAAGCATCCGTTTTTTCTCCATTCCACAGCAAGTTCATAGATGGGTTTGCAACACACTGCATAATCCATTCCCTCCACCTTTTTGATAGTCTTGCAGCACGGAGAGTATCCTCTAAAAAATCCCACCGTATACGATCATAGGCCTTCTCCAGGTCCAATTTCAACAACATCTAGCCCTTTCGCCCTTTCATTCGTCGCATAGAGTGTATAGCTTCTTGCACTACGACTATACTATCCGTGCTCAAGCATCCGGGTATAAAGCTTGCTTGTGCCGGGCCTATAAGTTTTGGCATAATCTGTTTCAGCCGTCCCACCATGGTCTTTGTGATAGTTTTAAATAAAACATTACACAGACTGATTGGTCGGAACTGCATAATCCTCTCGGGCTTCTGCACCTTTGCAATCAACACTACAAGCGCATTATTAGATCCCTCTGGTAGGATTTCTGATGTAAAGAAGTCCAGCACAAAGCGGATCACAGAGCCACTCACCACCTCCCAACACTGTTGGAAGAACACCGACTGAAATCCATCCGGTCTCGGGGCCTTATACTTATCCATGCTTCTTATTGAATCCTGAACACCCTCAGCCGTAAACGGTTTTTCTAAAGCCAGTTTCTCCTCCCTTGAGAGACTTACAAACCCCCCCTCCTAGCAAGCATTCAACCTCGTTGTCGACATCTTCCATAGAGTATAGCCGAGAGTAATACTCAATGGCTAATTTTTCCAACTCCAACGATTGAGTCACCCATTGACCTGCATTATCCTTGAGCATTTCAATCTTATTACGCTGTCTCCTCACTACCGTGGACAAGTGATAATACTTAGTGTTGCGGTCCCCAAGTGCAATCTATTTTTCTCTAGATTTCTAAAACCAGAGCACCTCCTCCTGCTCTAAGATAACATCGAGTTCCTTACATAAAGCCTCCTCTTCCCGCAGCAAATCATTCGTTTGGTTCAACTCCAGCAGATCCTGGGCCCTTTTAATCTCCCTTAACAACTTATCTTTCCTTTGCTGTACATCCCCAAAAACCTCCCTATTCCACTTTTAGAGCGCACCTTTCAAGGATTTTAGAGCTTCTGGTGTGCTCATCTCACCCCTCCAAGAGGTGACCAGCATCTCCTTAAAACCAGAATGTTTCAACCAGGCAGCTTTGAAACGAAAAGGTCTTCTTCTCGCATTGCCTCTCGCTTCTAGTTCCAACTGCATGTAGACAGGCGCATGGTCAAAAGCTAGGAAGGGAAGATGTGTCACTGAAGCTTCTTGCCGCTTTAATCTTTTCACTGTGTTGATTGATTTCACATATCATTTTTTTACAAATTAATATTCATCTTTTTTTTACAATTATTGGCGTTGGTTATTAGTGAAAATCCAGCATTATTGGTTTGGGCATTGAGAGCAGCTCCATCGATGGTTTCTCACCATCGTATCTCATCATTTATAATATTAAAAAAAAGCAAAAGTAAGAGAGAGAATCCAGATACGTATCTCATTAAAGAAATATTGAGATATGTATCTCAACTTTTCAACACTTAGACCATCTGCATTGGTGAGAGACTCACATCAGTCTCTCATCAATTTAATAATAATAATTTTAATATAATTTAATTATATTAATTAATTTTAATTTTAAAATAAAGTTTAAACCAATTATAAAAAGAGAACACATAAAGTGAGTCTCTCAAAGTTTCTTATTTGAGAGACTCTCTCCATTCTCTCTCTTCTTTTTTGTTAAGTTTATTAATTTTTTATTTTGAGAGACTTAATGAGAGACTACTAATGGAGGTGCTCTTATGATTGGTTTAGTTTTTTTTTCATTTATTAAAATTAAATTATATGAAAACACAAAATTAAAATATCAATTTTTTATTGTTTAAATACTTAAATAAGTATCTCAATTGATGGAGTTGCTCTGATAGTGAATCGCTATTGTGTGGGACAGATGCCAACTATGTGGCTCATTTAAAAAGAATAAAACTATTGACCGGAGAGTTTGATGGAATTTTATGAGACAAAATATTTTGGATTGGTTTGCTATTTTGGATTGTTCTTCTACTTCAAGTTGGTTTTTACTCATTGAATGGTTTATCACATATTCACATTGATGAATGAAGCAAGTTTGAGTTTAAAGAAAAGAAAAAACGACTCAACTTGCAATCGTGCCTTGTTTCTCTAAACTTAACCCAATCTGAGCTGAAACAGTTTATCGCCATGGCTGCATCTTCCTCTTCCTCTTCCACGGTCGATGAACTGCAACCAAAACATCAAGTGTTCATCAGCTTTCATGGGGTGGATGTGCGCTATGGATTCATTAGCCATCTTGTCTGAGCCTTGATAAACAACAGAATCAATGTCTTGGTCGACGAATTTGAAGACAGAGGCCAACCTCTAGAAGTCCTTTTGGAGAGAATAAAAGAGTCGACAATCGCTCTGGTCATCTTCACCTTGAATTACACCGAGACAGCATGGTGCTTGCAAGGGTTAAGAAAGATCAAGGAATGTGTGGATCAACGCAAATTGGTGGCTATTCCCATCTTCTACAAGTTGGAGCCATCCACGGTGAGACATATGAAGAGAGAATTTAGGGATGCATTTAGGAACATGGTGGAAGAAGGAAGGTTTCATGGCCATGATGAGAAGTGGAAGGAAGCTTTGATGTCAATTTATAACAGATTGGGCATCATAGTGCACGAGAAAAGGTATTAGTATACATAGTTCATTTCATATGTACATCGGTATTCTATAAACCGATTCTTTATTAATCTCTCTTGGTTTACTCTGTCAAGTGTTGTATATAAGCTAAACCACAATTGTAAATTGATTAATCAATGAGAATATGTTTTCTTAATTTCTCGTTGGTGAAATGGTATCAGAGAGAAGACGATTCTGAAATTCATCGATCTCGTGCTTTCTTCTTCCTTGATTCCTTTCGAATTCTCGCGTTTTTGTCGGAATTCTTCTCGCTTCCGCCTCGTTATCCGGTTTCCTAGCTTCGACGAGCTCAAATTTTGTTTTGGTCGTGTTCTACAGCTCCGATCGTGGTTTCATCTCCAGATTTGAGTTGTTCTTCCTGCTACAATGACCAAGCGTAAATGCAAGTCGAAGTACCGTCGTTCATCACCAGATTCCAAGGAATATGGTTCTCCTACGTCTCAGAAATCTCCTGGTGCTTCTCAAGCTCGCGATGATTCTGGCGTTCTTCGTGGTGGTTCTGTGGCTCCGATTCGCACTGACATTCACAGATCTACAACCACCTCACGATCTCTTCATCACTCGTTTGAGGTATCTGACTCTCCCGATAATGTTCATAGTCCGTATCACCTAGTTAGCTCAGATCATCCCGGTTTAGTTCTCGCTGCTGAAGCTTTAGATGGAACAAACTATGGAGTTTGGAGCATTGCTATGATTTCTAGTCTAGAGGCTAAGAACAAGATGGGATTTATTGATGGATCGATACCACAACCTGCTGAGTATGATCCGTATTTCAAGATTTGGTGTCGTTGCAATAGTATGGTGAAATCTTGGTTGTTAAACAGCATTGCAAAGAAGATATATACAAGTATTCTGTATTTCAAGTCAGCCTCTGACATATGGAAGGATCTTCACACGCGTTTTCACAAGTCAAACTTGCCTCACCTTTATAAACTTCGACATCAACTTCATTCGTTCCGTCAAGGCAGTCTGGATCTGTCTTCATATCACACTCAGGTTCAATCGCTTTGGGAGGAACTATCAAGCTTACAGATTACAGCTAACACTGTAGAAGATCTGATTGCTGAGCGTGAGACAAACAGGGTTATTGACTTTCTTATGGGTCTTAACGACAATTATGAGAGTATTCGTAGCCGTATCTTAATGAAAAAGACATTGCCTACACTCTCTGAAGTCTACAATATGCTCGATCAGGAAGAGAGCCAGAAATCTGCTCGTCAGGCTTGTGAACTTGTTCCTTCGGCTTTCCAGACATCTCAGACTCAAGTGGCAGCACCTGTTTGGAGTTCTCAACCCTCTGGTGAAGCATCTAAGGAAGACAAGCCTCTGTGTTCTTACTGTGGAAAACAAGGTCACGTCGTTGATCGCTGCTACAAGAAACATGGCTATCCTGCACATTTCAAGTCTAAGCACAAGAAGCCTGGTTCTGTTGCTGCGAATGTGACAGTAAGTGATTCATCTCCGGACCAAATAGGTGTCTCAGAAGAACTCTCTTCCACACAGATACAGCAGCTAGTGTCTTTCCTGAGCAGCAAACTACAGGCTCCTTGCGTCACTACCACACCAGCGGTTCATTCTGTCTCAGTATCTTCCGACCATTCTAATTCAACCGTTTGCCCAATTTCTGGTAACTTTTACCCCTCTATCCTTTGTTCTTTTACCGGAATTGATAGGCCTTATGTCTGTTCTGTTAACGACAATAACAATTAATGCGTGGGTCATAGACACAGGAGCAACTAACCATATCACTCATAATAAATCCTCCGTTTCTACTTATAAAACCCTTTCCAATACAACCGTTACTTTGCCTACTGGAGTTCGTGTGAGCATTGTCGGTTTAGAAACCATACACTTGGGTAGAAATTTAGTGCTTACTGATGTTCTTCACATACCTCAGTTTAAGTTCAATCTCCTTAGTATCAGTTCTTTGACAAAGAGTATGGGTTGTAGAATCTGGTTTGATGAGTCTTCTTGTGTTCTTCAGGAGCGTACACAGGGATTAATGATTGGAATGGGTAGACAAGTGGCTAATCTCTATTTTCTGGATATCGAGTCCATTTCTTCTCAAGGTACTATAGCTTCTTCCGTTGTTGCGAGTGTCTCTAGTCCTGACTTGTGGCATAACAGGCTAGGTCATCCATCTATGTCTAAAATACATCCTATGTATGATGTTCTCTCCTTTCCTAAACCAAAGAATAATCGTGATTTTCATTGTCGTATTTGCCATTTGGCTAAACAGAAACATATCCCGTTTGTATCTCATAACAATCTCAATAATAAATCCTTTGATTTGATCCATATAGATACTTGGAGTCCCTTTTCTGTTCCTACTCATGATGGGTATAGATACTTCTTAACGATTGTTGATGATTGCTCTAGGGCTACTTGGGTTTATCTTCTTAAGAAAAAATCGGATGTGTTAGAAGTCTTTCCCACTTTTATCTCTATGGTAGAAACCCAGTTCGAGACTAAGGTTAAGGGGGTTAGGTCCGACAATGCTCAAGAACTTAAATTCACCTCCTTTTATCATTCCAAAGGCATTGTTTCCTATCACTCTTGCCCTGAAACTCCCCAACAAAACTCAGTCGTTGAACGAAAACAACAACACATCCTCAATGTTGCCCGGTCCCTTCTTTTTCAATCTCATATCCCTCTTCCTTACTGGGGTGACTGTATTCTAACCGCAGTTCACTTGATAAACCGTCTCCCTGCTCCTGTGCTCGAAGACAAAAGCCCTTTTGAAGTTTTAACAAAGAAGGTTCCTGACTATAACCAACTTAAAGTCTTCGGATGCCTTTGTTATGCTTCTACATCCCCTCAAGGCAGACATAAATTTGATCCCCGAGCTCGAGCATGTGTTTTCCTCGGTTACCCTAACGGGTATAAAGGTTACAAGCTCCTTGACATTCAATTTAATGACATTTTCATCTCTCGACATGTCATCTTTCATGAAGAGCTCTTCCCTTTCGTTCATTCAGATCTTTCGCAAGAAGCTTCTACTCTCTTTCCTGATCTGATGGACAAACCTCCTTTGGATCCCCAATCTTCTGGTGTTGATACCTCTGTATCTTCGCCTTCCGTAGAGAATGTGCCTTCTGCCATTCCTACTTTCGATGTTGGTGAACCCTCTGTTCCCACATCACATAGGAGGATCAAAAAGCCTGCTCATCTTCAAGATTATTACTGTGATTCAGTAATGTCTTCAACCATTCATGAAAATTTTCAATATCTTTCCTATAATCAGATTGCTCCAATTTACTATTCCTTTCTAGCCTCTATTGATAAAGAGAAAGAACCATCATCCTATACTGAGGCAAAGCGTTTTTTGGTATGGTGTGACGCAATGGACATTGAGATTGTTGCTCTGGAAGACACAGACACTTGGGATATCTGCTCTTTGCCACCCGACAAACACTGCATTGGCTGTAAATGGGTTTTTAAGGTGAAGTTCAATGCAGATGGTAGTGTTGAAAGGTACAAGGCTCGCTTGGTTGCCAAAGGATACACACAGGAAGAAGGTGTCGATTACAATGAAACCTTCTCTCCAGTTGTTAAGCTGACTTCAGTGAAACTCGTGTTGGATCTTGCAGCAATTTTCGGTCTTTCTCTTACCCAACTAGATATTTCCAATGCCTTTCTCAATGGGGATCTGGACGAAGAAATCTATATGAAACTTCCTCCAGGATACTCTTCACGAAAGGGGGACCTTCCACCAAATGCAGTTTGCAAACTCAAGAAGTCTTTGTATGGTCTTAAGCAAGCTTCCCGCCAGTGGTTTCTCAAATTCTCCACCACTCTTATTGGCTTGGGATTCACACAAGCTGCTTCTGATCACACCTGTTTTCTGAAGATTACTGCATCTGTCTTTGTCTGTGTGTTGGTGTACGTTGACGATATCATTATCGCCTGCAATGATGATTCCACCGTTGACACCTTGAAGAATGACCTTAAATCCTTCTTCAAACTGCGTGATCTTGGTCCTTTAAAGTACTTTCTTGGCTTGGAAATTGCTCGCTCAGCTGAAGGGATCTACGTCTGTCAGCGTAAATATGCTCTTGATCTCCTTGCTGACACTGGTCTCCTTGGCTGTAAACCTTCCTCTGTTCCTATGGATCCTCACGTGAAGTTTTCTACGGACAAAGGGGGTGATTTCGTTGATGCTGAATCCTATAGACGCCTTATTGGCAAGTTGATGTATCTACAAATCACTCGCCCTGATATTTCTTACGCAGTGAATAAACTTAGTCAGTTCTCTGCTGCTCCACGGATTGCTCATCAACAAGCTCTCTAAAAAATTCTTCACTACATCAAAGGCACTGTAGGACAGGGTCTCTTCTATTCTGCTAAGTCAGAGCTTCAGCTTCAAGTTTATGCGGATGCAGACTGGGCATCTTGTGTTGATACTCGTCGATCTACTACAGGTTACTGTATTTTCTTGGGTTCTTCGCTTATTGCTTGGAAATCCAAGAAGCAGCAAACCGTTTTCAAGTCCTCTGCAGAAGCTGAATACCGTAGTCTCTCCAAAGCTACTGATGAACTGGTGTGGCTCACTAACTTTCTCAAGGAGTTGCAGGTTCCTCTCTCTAAACCCACGCTTCTATTCTGTGACAATACTGCTGCTATTCACATTGCTCGAAATCCAGTTTTTCATGAGCGAACTAAGCATATCGAGACAGATTGTCATAGTGTTCGGGAAAGATTAGTTGCGGGTCTTTTTGAGTTCCATCACGTACCATCTGAACTTCAGATTGCAGACCCACTCACTAAAGCTCTGTATCCAGCTCAGTTTCACAGTTTAGTTGGCAAGATGGGTGTTCGAAACATCTTCTCCCCATCTTGAAGGGGACTATTAGTATACATAGTTCATTTCATATGTACATCGGTATTCTATAAACCGATTCTTTATTAATCTCTCTTGGTTTACTCTGTCAAGTGTTGTATATAAGCTAAACCACAATTGTAAATTGATTAATCAATGAGAATATGTTTTCTTAATTTCTCGTTGGTGAAAAAAGGTATTTCTTTTGCCCAACTTGTTGAGAGAGAATTTACCAAAAACTAGATCCTGCAGAGCGATTTTCGTGGGAATTCAAGAAGGTTATGGTGCTTATTCTCCTCACTCGTATTGCAGCTTCGAGGTTATGGAGATTTTTAATTATTACTTGTAAGGTTTAAAGATTTATTTTTCTTGACGATCACTTTGCTTTCTCTCACTTGCTTACCAGTTATGAGGACTCTGCCATCGATGAAATTTTGGAGCGCGTACAAAAATTGCTACAAATTATATTCAACACTGACCTAAGGTGACAATGTTTTTCTATAATAACCTTTCATCTCTCAAAAAATAATAATTATATGTTCTCTCTTGTTGGTATATAGATCTTTATCCAACCCACCATAAGTCCAGCCACACAAAAATCAAGTTTTCATCAATTTCCGCGGAGATCAGCTGCGCAACAATTTCATCAGCTATCTTGTGGATGCACTTCGGAGAAGTGAGATCAACGTCTTCATTGACAATCAGGAGCATATAGGTGAAGACCTCACCAATCTTTTCAAGAGGATCGAGGATTCCGCGATTGCCATAGTTGTGTTTTCGAGCAGGTACACGGAATCCAAATGGTGCTTGGAAGAGCTTGTGAAGATTAAACAAGGTGTGGAACAAGGCAGGCTCAAGGTGTGATCGATGAACAATGTATATTATACATATTTTGACACACATATATTACTAACTTTGGTAATATACCACAAGGTGATTCCCATCTTCTACAAGGTGAGTCCAACCAATGTGAAAAGACTTAAGGGAGAGTTTGGTGACAATTTTAGAGACAGAGAGTGGGAGTTTGAGTCTGACGAACCTAAGATTAAGCGATGGAAAGAGGCGTTGGCGGTTGTTTCCCGTAAGTTTGCCCTGATTTTGGATGAGAATAGGTACTATTCGTTTAAACCCTAGCTAATGTAAATACAATCTATAAATTATATTTTTTGTTGAATATTGAAGGAAAAAACTATAATATCGAAACAAAAGTTTTGACGATACTTAAAACATATTTCTTATAGAAAATTTACAATATGAATTTTCGTTAATGTATAAATCTATTATCATATGATTTTACGTTAGATCTGATAAAATTCATCTTAGCCATCCTTTTTGTATCTTTTTATATATGCATGCACGCTCGTGTGTGAACTTTTATAAACTCATCTCGTTTTTTTTTAACAAGTTTAGCAGCGCATTAGAGATTGAATTCGTTAATAATATCGTCAAGGAGGTCTTGAAAATGCTACAAGACATTTACACGATGGAAAGAAGCTGCGTCTCCACTAGATAATCTCTATCTCCTTCTCAAGAAGAAGCACACGAAAGCTCAGCAATCCTGACGTTCACGTAAAAAGTTTTTGTTTTATAACATGTAACAAACATTCAGTTCAACGTTGAAACAATCTAAACTTGTTTTAGTTTGCTTTATGAATCTGATAATATATGGATGCCATTGCCAACGTTGATGCAAATCCAATGGCTTAGGAAATCAGACAAGGTGAAAGTACATCTGTTGAGAAGAAGATGATAGTTTTTTAAATCATGGTTGCAAAACAGAATCAAAGGTTTATGTATGTTTGAAAAATTGGAGAAACAAAAGTTGTAAATGTTTAAAGGGGTTCATTTCTATTGTATAATAGAAAATGAATCCTTATTTGAACCCAAAAAGGTCAACTAAAGTCTAATTCATTTGGAAATTGCATTTTTTAAAAAGAAAATAGCACTAAATTTATTGTGAAACAGAAGGATATTCACGAATTCTTTTGAATCGTAAGGTATATAGTTTTTTGTCTTAATAGATTTTTTTTTTTTTTTTTTTAGTTCTAATATAATGGAGGTTTATAATGTGTATGCAATTAGCCAATTCTTCATATACAGTTAAAAAAAGGATGAGAAACTGAGAAACTACCAATAATCTCTGCAAGAGCAAGAACCTTCTGAGAAATGATGAAACCTCTTAGAATCTCTAATTATGATTCTCCTTTTCTCCATCAAAGACATTGCTTTAGCTGTTTCATGACAATCTCCACATATCCTAAGATTCTTCCTTATGATTATTGGCTCCATTGGACTAATCACCAATATCCCAAACGCCATTGCAATTTTCTCGCTATGTTGATTGATCATCTCCTCTTTCACATCTTCATCCACATCATGTAACACAAACTCTGTTCTTGATTTAAATCCCAATTCCTTCTTCATCTTCTTTCTAATCTCTTTAAGCTTCTTCTGTATCTTCTCTGATTCAGGATGAGACCAATCTCCAACAACAAACTTATGAATCTTATTACCATGTTCAATGTAGCTACACCCTGAAGCTCTCACCAGACCTTTCTGTTTCATCAGATTCCTTATTCTCGAAGCATCTTTCCATTGACCAGAAGCTGAATAGATGTTCGATAGCATTATGTAGTTTCTACCATCACAAGGCTCTAACTCAAACAATCTCTCTGCAGCTTCTTTACCGAGTTTGACATCTCCGTAAACCCTACAAGCACCAAGCAAAGCTCCCCAAACACCAGAGCTCGGTTCCATTGGCATATCTTTGATCAACCCATAAGCTTCCTGAAGAAACCCTGATCGACCCATGAGGTCAACCATACATGAGTAATGATCTAACCTCGGCTCGATTCTGTATCTTTTCGACATTGTCTCGAAATAACGCTTCCCTTCTTGGACAAGACCTGAGTGACTACAAGCATTCAACAAGTGTGTGAAGGTCACATGATCAGGACTAATACCAGAGCCAACCATGAGCTCAAAATGCTTTATTGCGTCTCTTCCATAACCATGAGTGGCGTAAGCAGCAAGCATTGCTGTCCACGCCATGCTATCTGGAGAAGCAATCTCCAGAAAAACCGTAGACGAATCCTCTAACCTACCAAGTTTTGCATACAAATCTAATAAAGCCGTAGTTATACACTTGTTCGCGTTAAACCCGCTGAACAAGATCATCCCGTGAACTCCTTGAGCCAATTTGACTGACCCAATGGATTCACAGACACGGAGAACAGCCAAGAAAGCAGCTTGATCAGGCTTATTTCCAACACTTCTGCTCATGTTGAAGTAACCCAGACTTTCTTCAGCTAATCCATTTTGCGAGTGAGTCACAATCATCGTGTTCCATGAGACCAGATTCTTTACACTTGAATCCTCAAACAATCTGCATGATGAACTCAAATCTCCAGTCTTTCCATACCAATTGATAAGAGCATTCACAACTTTCACTTCCTCAAGAAAACCTGATTTCATCACCAACCCATGAATGCAACGTCCTTCTTCTCTACTTCTCCCATGAACACAAGCAGAGATAATCGACAGAAACGTAACTTCATTGGGTTTAAAACTAAAACCCACCTCGGATCTCATCTTAGCTAAAGCCTCAAGACATTTTCCCAAATACCCTCTCCCTGAATACCCAGAAATCAAAGAGTTCCAGGAGACTAAATCTCTGTCAGGCATTTCGTCGAACAGCTTCTCTGCGCAAAATTCATGACCGAGTCTCAAGTAACATCCAACAAGCTGGTCCCCAATGAATCCATGGCGGTAGCTCACAGTCTTCACTGCTCTACAATGAAGCAAACGACATTTGAAAATGGAGACGCAAGAGGCTATAGAATCAATCAGTGATGAAACATTTGCCATCTAAACTCCAAGAATCATACAACGGAGACGAAGATCGCTTTTGAACAAAACTAAGTCGGCGCAAAAATCTCCGCCGATTCAAAAATCTGTGCTTTGAACATGAATACACATTTGCTTGTATCATCTCTCATAGTTGGCTTTTAGCTCTCTCTCTCTCTCTCCCTCTCCCTCCCTCTCTCGCATCTTCAACTGTTATAAGCCCTAAAATCAAACATATCCAATTTTTTAAAACTTCGTTACTATTAACGGTCAAATTCAGAATCACTTTATGAAAAAAACCTTATCTTTTGAAGCTGTGATCAGAAATTTTGGATATTCTGATTTCTGAGAACTCAATTTGGAAATTTTGAATATTAATATTGTAATCTTTGATCAAACCGTCTTATTACAAAACCACCGGTTTAAGTCTCTTACATCAAACCGTCTCGTTGGTTTCAAGCCTTGGATCATGTACTTACAACTTAAGCTGTTTGGAACGAACCCAACTCTCTGCAACCTTTCCTGAAGCTCTAACACCTTCTCATATCCACTTCCCGTATCACAGATCGCTTTAACAAGCGAATTGTAACTCTCTATGTCGAATATTCTAAACTCCATAGCAAAGAAACTCAATAAACTCTCAGCTTTAGCGAAATCCGATTCCTTGCAGTATCCATTAACAAGAGCCTCGCATATACAAGAATCCGGTTTCACTTCACAACCAATCATTTCCAACATCAAAGACTCTGCTTCACGGTTCCTACCAATCCTACACAAGCAGACGATAAGAGCTTGGTATGTCTTGCCATCAAGAACTTGATTCTGGCTAGCGAGTTTCTCTTTGAGAAGCAACGCCTCTTCGATAGCATCGCAACGTGACAAAGACTCGATTAAGTTACTGTAAGTCTCTGGTTTAGCCTCGTGACCTTCCTCTTCGCTGACTCTTTCCAACAGATGCTTTGCTGCAAATGGTTTCCCTTCCCGGCATAAACTTTCTATCAGAAAGCTGCAAACTTCAAATGGAGTTTTAACCTTTAACCTCGTAAGCTCCACAACAAAGTTTACAGCTGCGAGTAACCGTCTTTCTCTCACAAACCCTTCAACTATAATCTTAACTGTAAACCTATCCGGAACAACGCTATTCCCAAGCATCTCGTGTAACAGCTTCTTCGATTGTTCCATCGTTCCTTCTTTGCAATAAGCATAGATAAGAGTGTTGTAGGAGATACAATCAGGAGTGACTCCTCTGTCTTTCATCCTGTGGAAAGTCTGGTGAGCTTCTCTGACTCTCCCTTCTTTACAAAGACCTTTGATAAGCGATGTGTAGGTAACCAAATCAGGCACAACGCGACGCCGATACATGATCTTGTAAAGATAAAACGCTTCTTTCAACTTTCCTCTCCTGCAGTAACTACTCACTAACGTGTTGTAAGTAACCAAATCAGGCTCAAAGCCTTCTTCTTCCATCTTCTCCAAAAAGTCATCAACTTGATGGAAATTCGAGTCGTTGCAGAAGACGTTGGTAAGAATGTTGAAGGTGTGCGTGTTGGGATGGATCCCGACTCTGCACATCACGCGGTACACTTGCCAACAATCCTCCATCAGATCAAGTTTCAGCAAACCATTCAAGAGATGATTACAAGTGACGACACTGACTCGAAAACCTGAATCAATCACTTTTCGAAACGCAGAGAAGCCTTCTTCCACCAAACCTAATTTCAGGTAACCCTTGACGAGCATATCGAAAACAACGGGATCCCAATTGCATTCATCAGTAGAGGAAACTAAAACATTGAATACATCTTCTTCATCTTCATCTTTCTTAGATGGCGATTCCGTGACTAACTCAATCATTTCACAGAGGAATTGCATAGCCAAAGGAAACTTTTTTGACCAAGCAAGGACGTGTAGCAACAAACAGTAGTTACCAACATTTGGTCTCTTACCCAAATCGAATTTCACCCAAGTGAAGAACGCGAGAGCTCGAGAAGCATCTGATTGAAACCTTAGCAAAACCCTAGAAATCTCGCGGTCGCCCAAATGAGGAATCAGCGATTTTACCTCGCCCTGAAGGTTAGATAAGACGAAATCACGCTGATTGAGAGTTGAACAGATGACATTGACGATTCGATTAGGGTTTTGAGTCTGGGGAAGTAGATTGTAAAGCGGATTGAGGATTGGCTTTGGTGAAGTATCACATCGCGGAATTAACTGCAATGAAGAAGAAGAAGAGGAGGAGAAGAAGCTGTGTCTGACGATTTGGAGATTTCGTTTGAGAAAAGAATCAGTAACTAGCTTCATGAGAAATTGGAAGAACGAGAGAGACGAAAGACGAGAGAGCCAGAAGAACGAATTTCAAAATCAGAGATTTGATTTTGTCCCACATCGGAAGTTTAGTTTTATTTTGTGAAGTATATAAACACTGAGAAAAGGTTGATTAGTTGTGTTCGTAGAAAGGAGAGATGGTTGGCATCTCCTCTGACAGAGACGGGATTGACCTTCGGGTCTTGAAACACACAACGGTTAAGGCTCTCCACTTTCGGGTGGATCTAAACCAAATTTTTTTGGGCTTTTTCTTACTTTATTTAGGACTTTATGTATTGGACTAAGAACCTATTTGTGACTCAATTTCTTATATTAATTTTGGAATCATTTGAGGTTCGGGTATCAATTAAAGTGAACTTCAAAATTTTGAAACTTTTTCATTTTCTATTGGACCTAAAATTCGAATTCCAACTCCTTATTTTTTTTACTCTTGTAGTTATTTCATTATTGAATAATCGAACTTTCAAATATACATCTTCTTAAATTATTGGGTTTACATGAATTCATAAATTTCAAAATAAAAGATCAAGGCGCTAAACTCGAACCGACATTTTTGCTACAATCATATATATGGTTTTAGTGGAAGAGGAGTTTGTGTCATCCAAAATGTTATATTCATTTATCATTTATTACTCAAAGCATGAGTTGAAGTGGTATAGCTAATTGGGTTTACAGGATTTTTGGAAGATGAGCTTTTAGGATTTGAACAAACCTCAATACGTTGGGATGACGAAATACAACAACAAAATGGTTTTCATTTGGATTGAATCCAAATCCGGCAGCATAACTGGCATGATCACTATCCATATTTTTAGTTGAATTATTACAACTTTTTCAAATTGCTTGTCATATATTATCAAATGTTTGTTTTTTTTTTTTTTTGAAAATGTAAGATCATAGAAGACATTTACATCATCCACCCATTTTTAATATCTAATATTTTTGTACTACGTATGTACTATTTAAAATATGGTGTAGTCACAATTTTATCATATACTAATCAAAAGATGTTGATAATAATACTCACAACACGCTGTAATCAAACTCAAGATATTAATAAAATTTGTCAAATCTATTCGGTTATAGAAAAAAACAACAAAATTAATCAAATAAAGAAGAAACCTAGAAACAAAAGTTATTTGTTACAGTTGGAATTTATTATAGTGTCACATGGAGGTAATTTGTAGGATAAAAGGGTGGAAATATATACAATCCATCATTTATGGCTCCTGAAAACCTCTCGATAGTATGTTTTAATTAGTTTTAATTAGTTTTAATTAATTGTATGGTCGAACAAATTAAAATAAACTAATTAAGCTTCAATACATATAAAGGAAAGAAATGTGAAATTAGTTATTTTAAAAAATATATAAGTATCCCTATAGCTAGAAGAAGAAACAAATATAAAATCAGCTAACAAATAAGAAGAATTGCTGAAGAACGATTCATCAGAACATGATCATTTTGCTTAGTCGGACCAGATAGATTTTGCTCCATACAGCATAGTAGTATGAATATGGGTTTAGCGGGAGTTCCAAAACCAAATAGTTGATACCTTCTTAGCCTTTAGATATAGTAAGGTGGGACAATCTGGTATGACTAACATCACGTTTACATTTACATTTGCATTGGTCAAATCTTCAATCACACCTAAGAAATCACTATCTTTCAATATAAAGAGTAAGTTCTTCCTCTGATTGCTTACTATCTGCTCTAAGACATACATGTATGACCGCTTAACCAAATCTAAGTCAGTTGTATCTATATTCCTTATAATGCGTACTGAGAAAAAAAACAATCAATAAAGAAACAAATAAAATATAAATCAATTTACATGAAAAAGAAAAATTACCTGGTTTTCTTTCATTCCATACAAACAATTTGTGATATACTCTACTAACTGCACATCTCACGGTATCTGTTCTGATATCTTTCGAATCTGAATCCAACTTTAACAGTATCAGCAGACTGCGGTCTGTCTGGTCCAAAAGCAATCATCTTCTATGGTGAAACTTGGATTATGTTCCCGCAGAGCAGCTAGAATCTGGGTCTTAATAGTCGACATGTCATATCTTGGAGGGAGTTTGGCGTTCTCATAGTTCAAAAGACAAATGACCCCTGTGGATTTTGTTCTTTTTCATATTGCTGGTCATATTTATCAAATGCTTGATTTTTTTTTTTGAAAATGTAAGACCATAGAAGACATTTACATCATCCCACCCATTTTAATATCTAATATTTTTGTACTACGTATGTACTGTTTTAAGGATGGCCTAGTCGAAAATATCGTAGGTACATTTTCAACTTATTATATGGAAAGAATGGTGATTCAATATCTCCTCTTCTCATCTTTATTATCGTCTATATTTCTCAATTTTTGTTGGCATCACCAACTCTTAAACTCAAACTCATTCATCACAAACACTCTACAACATCCACATGTCTCTCATATCATATCGAGGAAGCATCGGTTGACCCTCTGAACTATTTGCAAGCCAACACAACTAAATATATTATGGCACCACCTTTGAATTATTCTGAATTAAAGTGAGTTCGAAGTATGGATCACAGGTTGTATAAATTCACACTATTTCCAACTATTTTATTTTGATCTTCGTAGAAACTTAAATTGAAAATTTAATCTATAATTCAAATTCTCAGCAAAATGACGAAAAACATAATTTTATGAAATAGAAGGTAAACTGAATATAAACATAAAATGTCGTTCAAAAACAGAGAAAAAAAATAGAAATATAAAATGTTATCTTTCATAAATAAATAACTTATACCCCAATGGGTAAATCTTAGTTGTTCACTCTCAGAAACCATATAAAAACGGCACGGAGCTCATAAGGAGTTTAGAAAGAAAACAAATAAGCACTTTCAAAAACTCTAAAACAAATACTCAATAGAAGACAAACCCTCTGGACCTGACCAAGGCACTTGAACCATCACCATCGAATCTTCATACCCAAACTCAACAACTTCACCATCAATTTTGCAGCTCACAGGTTCTCTCGATGCATAAACCCTGAATTCTCCAGCACCACGAACTCCGATCTCAACAGTCTCCTCATGATACATCAAAGATCGAATGGCACCGCTAGTGTTTAGCATGTTAACCAATCCGATTGGAGCAAACCGAACCGAGTTGCCCTCAATGGTGACAACAGGAGAAACAGTGATCAGCTCAAACTTGAATGGCTCTAAAGTGACCTCGAGATCGTCGTTTAGCCCAGACAACACAAGCTTCTTGGATTGAGACAAGAACAAAGCAAACTCTTCAACGTTTTCGATGGAAATTGGGTTGTTTCCACTGTTCCATTCAACGTCCTTAGGTTTTGTTGTGGCCGTTAACGTGTTAACGCATTCAGAGAAGCATTGGTTGCGTCTGGTTTCTCTGCACCATCCTCCTCCTTGACAGTTGAATGCTCCGATAATTCCAGTGAACTGTTGGAAATAAAAAATACAAAACATTAGAAAAGATTGTAATGAATAAAACAGAAACTTGCGTACGAAGAAACGATTCCAAATCAAATGGTAAATGAACTCAAAAGCACCACTTGAATTTTCAAAATTGATAGATCACTTGTTTATATGAAAGGCCCCAATAATAATAGCTCTTTAAGAGCCCATGAGAAGAAAGCATTATTACCTTGTTCAAGTTCCAAATCTTGAGCATGGTTTTGCCATCATGAAGAGGGTCATCAAAGAGACGGTCACGAGTTGGGAGAGCATAGTACTCGCACCTCAGAATCGAACCGTCGGGCAAAACGAGTCGCCTCAAGAGATCGAAATCGTGTTGGCCCACACAATCGCTGATGTAAATGGGCCCACCCGAAATGGCCCGAGAAGCAGCATGGAACTCAGCACAAGGATGTGTGGACTGAAACATGTCCCAATCAGGCTGGATGAAATTTCCCATCCAGAGACTGTTGTATGCACAATGGACCATGTGACATCCTTGTAGCCAAAAGGTACCGTTTATATCGCCTGATGGATCCGTGCACCAAAAGTCATCACCTAATGACAATTAAAAATCCAATTATTAGATGAATTTATATTTAAGAATTGACACATTTATATAGCTCATATTTGGAAGGTTATAATAACAGTCCAAAATTTCTAGCATTCTAAAATAGAAGACTTACCAACACGACCTAGAGAGATGGCTTCGGTTCCAAGGAACATGAAGTCATTGCAGTGCTCCATGCTGGCGATAACGCCGTTACCGTCAAAATGCTTATTCACTGACGACGTTAACGCCTTGAAGTAAGCTTTAGCCAAGTCAACTCTCCCGCCATATTTCTCGCACAACATCTCCAAAATCTGCAATTAAAAAAATTAAAGAAAAACGCCAGGTGTTGAGTTTTTATTATCATTTGCCACGTGTTTAATACATTAAATGGAAAAACGGAAAACCTCAAAAAATCATGTTAACTCAGACGGAAACTTACGTGGATGACGTCAACTTTAACGCCGTCAATACCGACGTTTTTAAGGTGAGAGTGAAGACCTTCGTAAAATTCATTCGCCATGTCCGGCGAGACAAATCCGATTCCAGTATCAATGATCTTATCGACGGCAAGATCTTGCATCGTCAGTTGAAGCCCCGGCGTGAGCTCTGGCCGGACAATAGTTGACGGCGGAAGAGTAGGAGCTCCAGGACGGAGACCTCCCCAGTAACCGCAAAGCGCGTGCCAGACGTAGATGTAATCAACGGTGGAGAATTCATCTTTCAGATCTCTGACGAAAGCTTTCATTCCGACGTCGTTTTTGTCTTTCGGAGAGACGTAGTCTCTGAATTTGTAGTTCTCTTGAAATTTCAGAAGCCTGTTAAACCAAATTAAACCGGTGAGAGGATTTCAAACCCAAATCAAACCGGAAACAATTTTCAACACACAAAACAAATCTACTATAACATCCGGTTCAATCAAAAGATAACAAAATTTCATGATTAACATACATGTGGTTAAGAAATCAAAGTAAACCGTGAAAAAGAAGGCCAACATACGTAAACGATCAAAGGATAAACCACTTTTTATCCAATTAAACCGTATAAGGATTGGAAAACGAAAATACCAAAAATATAATAAGATTGAATTAAAAACCAAGCTAAGCGCCATGACAAAGATTTAATCAAACTAAACCGTTGCAATAAGACAAAATAACTAAAATTCACAATAGCAATTGAAAAATAGAGAAAACCGGAATAAACCAACCTGCAAGGCATTTGCTCGCCGGCGACGGTACAAGTCATCCCTTCAACATCGATATCATCGGCATCATGCCCGATCGATTGCCAACCGTCGTCGATCAGGACCAATCCCGGCGGACAACCGCCGTCGACGAGACACTTAACCCCCTTATGAACTCCGTCAGGATTAACCGTCAGATAAAACGCATCCCACGTGCACCACCCGAACTTATCGACGATTCCCGGCGGCGTTTTCTCATCCAGTAGCTTAAAGGTGTTGAGATGAACCCTAATCACTTTCATCGCGTCCTTCACGAGCTTAAACGGATCGTCCCCTGCGTGAACATACACCATCTGACGGAATTCCGATCCGGTAACCTGGGTCGACCCGGATTCAACACAGACCGCCACGTCATCGTCTTCCCCGGGTTGGAAAGATGAACGGAAGGGGCCTTCTAGAAGCGGCAATAGAAGAACGTAAGGACGACCCGACCCGGAATCGGATCCAGAATCTGACCCGGACTTCTCGAGGATGATGATTTGTGTCTCGTTCTCGATGTCGCTTCCTTTTGACCCGACCCAGTGAGTGGTCCACCAGACCTTGAACCGGAAAATGCTCATGAATCGGATATCCCTGAGTTTTCCGATGGATGCCACGTGGTGGCTTTGTGGCTCGCCATCGAGGTTAAACCCGATGAATGAACCGGCCGAGACGTCGAGTGGTTCGCCATCTTTGTCGGTTAAGTAAGGCGAAGAAGTGAGAGTAACGTTAACCGGTACATCGGTTAAGATGACATGACCATTGGCCAAGAGATTGGAGTCCTCTAGCCGGAAAAGAGGCTTTCCAGTGAAGTCAATGCCGTTTACTCCAGCGTCGGACTTGATTATGCTAGGCGGAGCCATTGGTCAAAAAAAAAACAGAAGTTTAAAGGTTTTTGGACAAAGATGAAAGAGGTTTTGAGGTTGTGGATTAGGTCAATGAAGTAGAAGGTATTTATAGAGATTATGAATCTTGAAAACTTTCCCAATCTTGATAATTTGATGAGATTATGGATCGGAAGAAAGATTGGAAAATGTACATTTACTTATAGATTTCATATGTCGACCGACATGTAAAGGAATGTGTAAGAATAGTGGAACCATTCTGATTTTTTTTCTTTCTATATTCTATTTTTTTGTTTACCTTTATATGGAGTATTTTTATATACAATTGTGTTTTGTTTCTTTCATGATCTTTTTATGTGGGGTAGCTTTGATTTGCCACCTTTAGATTTGATCGTTGGTAATTAATAGGATGATTATTAAAATATATACACGGTTCTCGTCTCATGGCTTTTTAAGTTTTTAGACGATTTAAGAAAAACAATTCCCTATATATTGCATAATTTTTGCGACTTTAATTCGCCTACCGACAAATGTAACTTTCACCGATCCTCCAATGACAATAAATATCAATTTTAAAATTATTCATTCATTTCTTTTAATTTTGATATGCTAATGTGAGGAAGAAATGTGATATGGTAATTTTGAAATGCTGAAATCATCACATTCCTTTTTTATGGAAGAAATGAATGCTGAAATCATAACATTCTTTTGTTATAAAATTTCGGGATTCGATAAAGTTTTAATATATCTTAATATTCGGGTTTTGATTAATTATGCCACCTTTGGTTTAAGGAAATGAATTATATTTTTCTCCTTTTGATTCTAATCTTATTCAATTTTCTTTTGTAATTTGTAATTAGTAGAATAGATCGTTTTGTATAAACTTGAATATTTATAACGTACTAGTATACTAACAAACACAATTTGGGAGATCCGTTTTCTTTCATTAACAACTCTGTAGATCTTCTTCCATCTTTTTCTTTTGTAACCTCCAACAAAAATTGGTAGTAAACTGTTTGGCGATATCTTACCAAGACATTTAGGTATGAGCCTCCATTAGCAATATGCTCTAGAATCACTCCTGATCACATTAATTTTAGAAAATTCGTAAAATGTTTAAAGTTTTTTGATTGAATTATTATGAATGTCGTAAGAGGTGTAATCTTCGATTTGACAATTTTACGGATTATTAGAATTTAAAGTCAGACTCTCAACATTGGTGATGTAAATGGCAAAATAATTACGAAAATTACAAGTGAAATAGTCAAATGTAATCGAGTAGTAAGGATATAATTATGTAAAACTTGTAATTAGTTAAACTCTTGAGATTAATTGAATTATTCAGTTTCACAGTTCTATACTATAATAAGCATTGTCATTGACATGTGAGATGTGACAAAGAGGTTGGTCAGGTCAGGTGACTTGTAAAGGATTTAATTTGTCACTACTGAGCTAAGCAAGAACATTCAAAGTACTTGTCCTCAATGGGGCTTATGCCACGTTTTACCTAGTTTGTTCGATCTGGTCTCCTTATTTGTTTTAAACAAACCGACCAAAAGATTAGAGGTCATATCATATGGTTTCCGTTTGGATAACCGTTCCATTATCAAAAAATAAAATATCTCACGTGGAGATGTTAAAAACAAGCCAACGCTTAATCTAAAACTTATGACAAAAGTAATCCAACGGTCGTGTTAAGCAGTTATATTTCTATTTCATGTTTGTCAAAACTCAAACAAAATTAAATGCGTGGCTTCATCTAACTTGGAAAAAATCCATTAGAGAACAGTTAACAGTATTTGACACATGGTAGAGATATTAACTAAACAATTGTCAATAAAATTTTAAGTTACGTTTTAGGCCGGCAACGTTTAGATAAATCATTTGACCGGTCTAATGCCGGTTTAGATAAATCATTTGACCGGTCTAATTTGTTTACGTTCAAGGTTTTTTTTTTTTTTTTTTGAAGATAATTAATTTCTTTTTCTTCCTGGAACTCTTAATATTTTACATCATGCTGGCGAACAAGCATGAAACTATTTTGTTAAAATGTCTACCATTACATTAATGTCACGAAGTATACACTTAAACGAGATAGATTCAAATCAGTAAGGGTTGAATCTTGAGATAGTGGATGCTACGGATCCACTAACATATTTGATAAGATTAAACTAAAACCTTGAGATTAGTATTGTTTAAACTAAAACCTTGAGATTAGTATTGTTTAAAAAAAAAGTATTGTTTGTTTTTTTAGAAAAGATAACTAACTTATATAAACTTATAATCCTCTTCTGCTTAACTTAGCCGGCTGAAACTAAATTACCTGCCCAATTACAAAAGAACCTAACCATCCCAAAGACCTAATAAAAGCACTACACGTGCCATGTAACGTCATCACATCAATCTAGCGGGTCGGTGAGGCATTGAACCATTTAAAGTTTTTGATTCTTTTGAACACAAATGTCATAATTCTTATTATTTCCTTTTCTTTTGATTATTGTTTATTAGTAGTTTTTTAATTTCCCTTTTCCTAAGGTTCGTTAGAAAGTTAAAGCGACAGGTTCACGCGTTTTCTTATCCAAAGTTTGGTTGGTTGCTTTAATCTCATTGGTGGAGAGATCTTAAGGGTCTAAAGAGATTCACCTAGCTCAATGACTGACTCTGAAAAACAGAAAATAACAAACTCGCCTTCTATGAACACAGCAACCTTACCCTTCGACGAAGAAACTTGTCCATCGGCCCATTTATTATAACTACATTGGGCCACGTTTTCCGGCCCATACATTATTATCTGTGGAGAAAATTGCTCCAGTAAATTTTAAATAGTTGACATCTTTGACCAAAAGAATATGTCATACTTCTCTTAGAAACGTGTCTCTGAGTGCGTTGACGTGTGTTACACTTGTCATAAAAGGAGCACGATCATATTTTCGGTGACGTAAAAATATAAAATGACCCGACTCGCACGATCATGTACAATCTTAACCGTTGTTCCGGTTATAGAAAAAGTGATAATCATCCTCTATACTATTTTGGGATCTTTCTAGTGTCGTAACCGAGTCGTGAAGCTTCTCTGTTTTTCTTTGCTCGAAGGTACAGGTATGGCTTATAATTCTATTTCTTTAGTTTTCACAGATAATCTCCGATTTATTTTTCCGGAAAAAACATGGAACTTTTACTAAATTTTGTTAGAACATTAGATAGAATTGCACGCGAATAATGATGTTCTTCTTGTAAATATAATACTTTATACTTAGGCGGCGGTCTAAATGGCGAATATTCCAAAGATCAGGCATACTGTTTATAAGGGACCAAGCATAGTGAAAGAGATAATATATGGAATAACAATAGGCCTTGCTGCTGGAGGGCTGTGGAAGATGCATCACTGGAACAACCAAAGACGGGCGAGGGAGTTCTATGATTTGCTTGACAAAGGAGAGATCAGTGTTGTCGTGGAAGATCAGTAGTGTTGTGGTGTACGTTTTCTCAATTTTTTTACATTAATATACAAATAAGTTTGAATTTAGATTCATATGAACTGAAAATGGCGCTTTTGTATGCGAGTTAAAGTGGGATTTGTTTTCTTGATGCAGAAATGGATTTCTTATCTTATAAGAGTTCAGGATCAAGGACCAAAAGGAATGCGTTTGGGTTTTGTTTCGTGGTATGTTTCTTTGGTTTCAATAAAATGTAATAAAGCAATGGAAATTTTAGATGTTGGATATGTTAAAAGGTTAGTGCTGTCTTTTTTTCTTTTGCTTTTTCTTTCGACACTAATTACCATCTACAAATGATATATAGTAGAACTTTTATAAATTAATAATTTTATTGTAAAAAGTAAAAAGTAAAAAGTAAAATTAATAAAATAATTTTAAAAAATATGTAAATGTAAATATATGATCACTCTAGTAAGAGATAGATTAATAATCATATATTTGCATATATATAATAAAATATGACTTGACTATTATATTGTTTTTCTAAAAATTAAATTCAGTTAAATTCTCGTTTAAATTGATTTCTATTTTTTTTATTGCATTAACAATTTACATCAAAACAATTATGAAAAATTATACAAATTATATTTTTATATGTAAATACTATCAAATGTTTCTATATTGTCATTTTCAACTTCATCATCAACATTAAAGATAGTCATAACTTTTTTTATTTTTATAAATTTTAAACTTTTGAACATGTATCACATCTATTCTGTTTTGATAATTGTATTAATCATAAAGTTTATAAATAAATTTTAAACTTTTGAATATGTATCACATCTATTCTGTTTTGATAATTGTATTAATCATAAAATTTATTCATTTATGTTGTTTAGTTCGTATTTAAATAAACTTTGTGCTATCGAAATATTGTCATTTTCAATTTCATCATCAACATTAAAGATAGTCATAACTTTTTTTATTTTTATAAATTTTAAACTTTTGAACATATATCACATCTATTCTGTTTTGATAATTGTATTAATCATAAAGTTTATTCATTTATGTTGTCTAGTTCGTATTTTAAATTCATTGATGTGATATTTCTTAAATAAACTTTGTGCTATCGAAATATTGTCATTTTCAACTTCATCATCAACATTAAAGATAGTCATAATTTTTTTTATTTTTATAAATTTTAAACTAGTCATAATTTTTTTTATTTTTATAAATTTTAAACTTTTGAACATGTATCACATCTATTCTGTTTTGATAATTTTATTAATCATAAAGTTTATTCATTTATGTTGTTTAGCTCGTATTTCAAATTTATTGATGTGATATTTCTTAAATAAACTTTGTGCTATCGAAATATTGTCATTTTCAACTTCATCATCAACATTAAAGATAGTCATAACTTTTTTTATTTTTATAAATTTTAAACTTTTGAACATGTATCACATCTATTCTGTTTTGATAATTGTATTAATCATAAAGTTTATTCATTTATGTTGTTTAACTCGTATTTCAAATTTATTGATGTGATATTTCTTAAATAAACTTTGTGCTATCGAAAATAATTTGCTATTTTTTTAGTGATTATTAAGAGTTAGATTTAATTTTTCAATATTATTAATATATAACTTTTTACTATATACAGTATACTCACACCACCCGAGTTTAATCAAGTTTGCGAAATAAAATCTATATCCATAAAATCTTCTCTACCTCTCTCTGTATTCACTTGTTATATTTTTGGGCTTAGTAAATCAGATTATACCTAAAAAGAATGCATTCATATGCATGATTAGTTTTGCATACATTGGACCTCAAGAAACAAAGACATTTCTAAGATGGAAAAAAATCTAGACATTTCTAAGATGGAAAAAAATCTTACACCCTATGAGTTGTAGAAGATTCTGTAGAGGTATTAGAAGCTTGATCTGTTTTAACCGTCGTAGTACTATTTGTGCTACAAGATAAAATACTAGTGCTCTCTGGGTCTGTAGTTAGAGAGCTAATCCTCAAGAATGGAGGATTGGTTGGAGATGGAATAGGGTAATCTCTATCGGTTAACATACGGATGACTTCTTCCATGGACGGTCTCAGCGATGGAGAAGCTTGTGTGCATAACAATCCCACACAAAGAACTTTACAAACTTCTGCTTCGCTGCCTTGTGCTTGAAGTAACTCTTCTTTTATACATGGGTCTACGGCTTCTACCAATCTATTCAGTCTATAGAGGTTCCAGACCTAGAAACAAGAAACCATCGTGAATCACTCGATTTAAATAAAAACCTTTAAATCTTGATTTTGATTTGATGAATAGGTTTAGTGAATCTTACTCTTTGTAGGAGGTGACCTGTTTTTGGCACGAATGTGTTGTTTCTTATTCCACAAGCTATCTCAAGAACAAGAACTCCGTAGCTATAAACATCAGCTTTCTCCGTTAATTGTCCTCTAACAACGTATTCTGGAGCCATGTAACCTCTGTATAGAGTTAAAAAAAAACTCGGTATCAAAGATTTTTATCGCGTCTAACACATGAACCTTGGTAATGATTCGAACCATATAGGTTCTAGTGTTTTAAATAGCTTACAGGGTTCCTGCGACGCCGGTGCTAAGATGAGTTTTGTCCATACCGAGACATCGAGCCAAACCGAAATCAGCGATCTTGGGATTGAGCTGATCGTCTAGAAGAACATTGCTGGTTTTGATGTCTCGATGAATGATCCTAACCGGAGAGCCGTCACCTCCGTGTAGGTAAGCCAGTCCTTCCGCTGTTCCAAGGATTATGTTTAGCCTCTGGCTCCAGTTTAGAATCTTGCTTTTGCTTTCATCTGAATTTCCCCAACAAAACAAAAAAAACATCTGTTAGACTGATCTACTCTGTTTAAAAACATTATATATGTTATTTTTCTTCTCAATTTAGCCCCATAACTTTCAAAAGTTTTTAAATGGTTTTTCTATATTTTATAAACTTAGAGAAACAAAAGCGTAGTCGAAGAATGAAACAATGAAAGCCTTACCGAAGAGAAAGTTGTCGAGGCTTTTGTTAGGGACGTACTCGTAGACCAAGAGACTCTCGGGTCCTTCAATGCTACAGCCAAGAAGCTTGACGAGATTCTTATGTTGGATTCCACTTATGAGATTCACTTCGTTGAAGAATTCTTCCACCCATTCTCTTGTGTTGAAGACTAATCTCTTCACGGCCACGTTCTTGCCATTTGGGAGGACGCCTAAGAAAACGGTGCCGTTTCCTCCTTGCCCTAGTTTTTTCTTGTGGCTGAAGTAATCTGTTGCCTTCTCTAGAGTCTCGTACTTGAACTTCGTCTTTGAGTTTTTGAACTTTTTAGAAACTAGAGCAAGATTTCTTTGTTCTGCTCATGACAAAAGATGAGTGAGGTCATGTGATCTGATACCAAATGCACATTCCTAATCCAATTAATTGATTAGAAAACGAATGTTTCGAATTAATGCACATATAACCGAAATAACTTTTTAGGAAACAAAATGTTTCTATACATAGAGAAAACATATGTACTAATGCATGTGATCATATGTTTACCTTGTTTGGTCTTTGATACTTTGACAATAATGACATACGTTGCCAATAGAACGAGCATGACGATTGCTGACATGGTCAAAACAATAGCCACGATGACCCCTTTGTTAGAAAGCCCTGCCACCAAAACTTTACATAAGTGTAGTCCATCACATGATTCACATGCCATTGTTTTGGTTTAATCTAAACCGAAATATACAGAAACTGTGTCAAAATTAAAAACTCAACCAAAAGAAACCAAAACTGTAAGAAATCAAACTAAAATCTATAGAAACAAAAAAACATATATTTAAATCAAAATAGAAGAAATCTTACCATGGATTATACTATGTGCATCACCATTATAGAATTTATGATCAGAGTATCTAAGATAACACCCACTGTTCATAGCTCTCCCTTCTCTCCTCGAAACGCACCGTTTCACTTCTCCAACAGCTTTCTCCAGACAAACCTTGCAACCTTCTTTCCCCACGCTCTCCCAACACTGAGCCAGCGCGTGGACTCCACTCTCTCCAGCGATTCCGAACCCTCCATGTCTAACCGCGGCTCTCGCAGCAATTTCCGAAACGCGGAACCCAAACTGAGGATCTGAAACGGTGTCGTTGCTGCACGAGTATTTATCCGACGTGGCGGAGACCGATTCGTCGTAGAATTCGTAAGTTTCGTAGCGGAGGAAACAGCCGTCGAGGAAGATCCTCGCTGAGGAGGAAGGCAGACAACGAGGGAGGCGCGTGCGTGCTATCGCGTAGCAGAGCTGGCAATCGGACGGCGAGAGATCGTTGTGGCATTGAACCAAAGCGAAAACCGATGTCGTTTTGGTTTTGGAGCTAGACATCGTGGAGTTTATGGACTGAGTTGCGAAACGGCGTGTAGTTAGTTTCAGGGAGAGTGATTGCATGTCTTCGACGAAAGTTGGAATGTAGTTTGGATCGGAGGAGGAACTGTTGCGTCTGCCGCAGAAGAGACCGGACACGGCGGTTCTTGCATCAGAGGAGGAAGACGAGAAGGGTAAACAGAAGAATGAATAGAGAAGGACGACGTAGTGAAACTGTATGGTTTTTGTGGGGGAAACCATTTTCTTCTTTGTTTTGCTTCTGTCGTCGTAAATACCAATATATTTATTAATTTAGCCCGCTTCAATTATAATCTGAAAAATTCAAATTAACCGTACGTTAATTGAAGGTTTAAACTTTAAAGCGATGATATAAAAAGGGAAACATGGCACGACACATGCTTAGAGCTTCATAAATTGAATGCATAAATTGATCATTCACCTAACTATCTAAAACATATATGCGAGTGAATTAATTAAGAAGACAATAAACGAATGGATACAGATAAACGAAAGGGACATGCAGATCCTAATAGGGAATCCTGGATTTAAGGCGATGATGAGTACAGTTGTAAAAGTCTTTAGGTCCCAAAACTAGAGAGACATCATACACATTCATACTAGTTTTGGATAAGTAAGATTTCATTTTTACATTTCTAAAATTATTACGGTTTGTGCTACGTATAAAATTAACAATCATGAGAAGAAACTCACATAGCAAGGAAATTAATGAATGGACCGTCCTAATTTATGTGGCGGTGGCTAACTCGTCGGACCGGTGGGGTAGGGTTAGGTCGGGTGCTGCAGCAAATTCAATAGTCTGCGCCCCAATTCTTGACTCGATTCGCACTCATCGGCATACATATATTATTAGATTGATTGATATACTTATAATTTTTGGAGTCAAGAATATGATTTTTTTTTTAAATCAAAACAATAAGAAGTGTATATAGATATATGTTATTTTCAAGAGTACTGAGTATATATAAGGGATGAGTTGGTTCAGTTTATTCTAACTCGGTTTAGTCAGGTCCGGTTTTGTTCGATCGAGCTAGCTACGATCAGTTTACCTACAATAATCACGGCTGACCCTAAAATTAATTAACAGTTAAAAAAGCAAACTTTTCAGGACTTCTGAACACTTAAAGAAAACAAATAAAAGAGAAAAAAACCAAGAAATTTCGTGATACAAGTGAGAGAGAAAGGAAATGAAGTGTAAAGAATGAAGAGGAGCAAGGAAGCTTTTATAGAAATTAAGAGAGAACTAAAGGCATCAAACAAATGGAGGATGAAAACAAAAATGCTCAGAAGTGGAGCAAGATGGCACGAATGAGTCACAAATTCAAATTCAAACTCCTTTGACTCCAAACCAAAAAAGAGAATTTTTTTGTGAAATTTTGAGAACTTACCTCGCTGGACCATCGGTCACTTGAGACCGATGGAAGTGATCGATGGGGTAGTATCGTCACTCCTGACCGATGGCCTTGATTGATGGCCTATCCGCTGCAAACCTATCGGTCACTTTTGATCAAAGATAGTGACTGATATCTTGCTATTTTATATCATTTTAGGCTGCATTTCATGCATTTTTTCTAGGTCTGGACAAAAAACCCGGACCCGAAAACCCGAACCGGAACCGATCCGAAATAGTCGGTTCGGATCGGGTTCAGTTATTATCAAATTACTCGACGGGTATTAAGTTTAAGAACCGGGGGTATCGGGTCGGTTCTGGTTCCTACCCGATACCCGATCGGTTAACCGAAATTATACACTTAGAGTTTGTAGAGCAATTTCCCGTTGAACCAGATGGACCCAGAGGCCGATCTACATACCGTTTCGTAGGTCTCCCAGTCAGTTATTCAGAACTTCTTTTCGTTATCGATTCCGAAATATATTCAATCCGAAAATCTTGACGAAAAATTTCAGTATTTCTTGAAAATTTCAGTTTTTATTCGGGTATTTGGTTACATTTCGGGTATATGGTTATTTTTTTCACTGATTTCGGGTCTAATCGGTATAAAAAACCGGAACAGAACCAAAATTATAAAAAAATCGATTTTTTTGGAAACTAAACGGTTCTAAAATTTAAGAACCGAACCGACCCGGAACCAAACTGAACCCGAATCGAAATCTCTTTGGTACTTATATGGGTATAAAATTCTCTTACCCGAAAGTACCGGAACCGATCGGATCCGACCTGGAACCGACCCGAATATCCGAATGCCCAGGCCTAATCTTTTCTTCTGTTTTTGCATTATAGTTTAGCATTTAAGTATCATTTGCACTTAGAATCAACATAACATGCATTTAGCTTAGGATTGCATACATTTGCATACATATGCATGTTTGTGGTGACTTGCAGGTGTTTTTGGGAGAGTTTTGGAGTTGGAAAGGGAATGGAAGCAACTCATAATCGGAGGAGACGCCAAAGAAGCAGCTTTGCAAACTCTGTATCCATATTGAGGTCTAGCATCGAGCAGAACATCCGTGAAGCTTGCTCGATGTGAAGCGCAGGACGAGGAAGAAGGATTTGTCCGGTGACCTCGAGACTGCACCGAGGTAGTGCATCGAGCTAGGCATGCCGTACAAGCCGATACGAATACACATGACATATCGAGGTGTAGCATCGAGGAGAACACCGAGAACCCACCTCGATATCAAGCTGACTGCATCGAGCAGAACACCTCCCTTTGCACCACAATGTGCCAACGCCGAGAGTTGACCAAGATTTTTCTATTTTTTGTCAAACCTTATCTTCTTAGCTTATTTAAGCTAAACCTTATCTTTTTAGCACTTATCTTCTTCTTTACCCTATTTTCCGACCTTGTGTGAAACCACAAAGAGATTTTTATGGGATTTTGATCAAGATCACAATTTTAATAAAGTTTTGCACTTCTTTTGTCAATTTTCCTCTAGTTCTTGTTTAATCATATATGATCTATCATCTTTGCTTATTTTTGTTGATTTTGCTATGTGTTGTGAGTAGTTTCATATGGTTTGAGGTTGCAGCAGATTTGGGGATGATTGGTTGATAGCTTAGGGTGTTTTGGTTTGATTAATGTTTAGATCACTTAGCTTAGTTGTTCTTAATGCTTAGTAACTCTTTTAGGGTGAAACTGATTATAGGTGTTTGCTGCATCACAAGTGTTTGTTTAAATGCCTGAAAGAGCTTTTTTAGGAACATTTTCCTAGATGATTATATTAGCGTTTAGGTAGCATGTTTGGTCTATAAGAGCCTTGTGTTTTCATGCTGGTTTTGAACAGTTACGCCATCACTAGTGGGTCTGACATGTGCTTAACTTAGACATCTCTGTTCTTGTTTCAGGCTGTTTTTGCACAGATACGCCATCACAAGTGGGTCTGACATGTGCTTAACTTAGTTGTTTCTGTTCTTGATGCGGATTGATTGATTTAGTGGCTTGATCATGTTCTTTGCTTGTTATCAGTCTTGACCACCCTAGGTTTGATACTAAGTAATCCCAAGTCATCATTGCTCTAGCTTTGAACCAGCGCCTCATTGTTCTTTGCTTTTCATCATGCTATGTTCTGTTCTCCACAATCTCAAAAGCATCATTTTGAGATCAAAAGCAGCTTGATAGTAATGGTACAAGGAAACCGCTTCAATGGCACATCCATGGAGGATCCGCTTGATCATTTGGATGGCTTTGAGAGTCTTTGCAGTTTACAAAAAATCAATGGCATCACAGAAGATGGTTTCAAACTAAGGTTATTTCCTTTCTCTCTTGGTGAATGTGCACACTTGTGGGAAAGATCTTTGCTTTGTGGATCAGTATGTTCTTGGGATGATTGCAAAATAGTGTTTCTTTCAAAGTTTTACTCTTCTACCAGGACAGCTACAGTAAGGCAGCACATCTCAGGATTCAAACAGTCACAAGATGAGCCATTCTGTTCAGCATGGAAAAGATTCCAAGGTTACACTTTGCGCTGCCCTCATCATGGTTTCTCAACAGAGTCATTGCTCAGCACATTCTATAGAGGAGTGTTACCAAGGTTCAAGATGCTGTTAAGCTAGACTTATTGCTTGAGCAGTCTCTACATCACCCACCAAAAGCAATAGAGAGGACATCAGCTCTTGGAAATGCTTATAACTAAGAAGCTGAAGCCTACTATGTGCAGCAACAAGAGAATGTTCATCATAAGCCATACCAAGATACAAGCTATGACAGCTACAATGCTTATAGTCCTCAAGCACACACAAGGGAAAGTGCTCCAATATACAATCAGTTTGGTGTTCCCATACAACAAAACCACAGGTTTACACCTCAATATGAAGAACACCAAGAGAATATGTATACAACAGAGTTTGCTCCTCGACATCAAGTGGCTGCTTCACCAGTTCAGGATGTCCTTAGTCCTTAAACAACACCACCATCTTCACCTGATTCAGCTACAGCTAGACTGCTTGAGCAGTTACTTGTCGCTCATACAAAGAGTACAATGGAGATGCATTCTAATCTCCTAAAGAAGTTTGAGAAAGTTACTGAAGAGCTTGCTATGCTTAAAGCAAATCAGGTCTCCTATATTACAGCTCAACAACAACAGCCACCAGCTGTGCATGCAATCATTACTAGGAGTGGTAAACAGCTACAACGTTCTGTAGCACCAAAACATCTCCATGTGGACATTGAGAAGCAAAGTAAAGGGGGGGGGGGGGTGTCTCTTGAGACTCATGAAGAAGAGACTGAAGCTGAATCAGAAATGAAATCTGAGGCAGAGCGTGTGAGAAAAGGGAAGAAAATAGTTGATGACGCACAAAGAGAAGCCATACAACCTACAAGGAAGGAACCTGTCTTTGTTCCTCCTCCTTACAAGCCACAACTCCCCTTTCCAGGAAGGATCAAGAAACAACTAGTGGAGAAGTACAGGCAACTCTTTGAGAAGCAGATAGAAAATGTAGAGATAACCATGCCCATGCTTGAAGCCTTCTTGCTTATACCTCAGTATCACAAGTTTTTGAAGGATGCACTTGCAAACAAGCAGAATGAGGTGCAAGGGATGGTTGTTCTCACTCATGAGGTCAATGCCATAATACAGCAGCTTCCTCAACCAAAGAAGCTAGGGGATCCAGGAAGTTTCACTCTACCCTGTTCCATTGGACCTCTCACATTCAATAATTGTTTGTGTGATCTTGGAGCTAGTGTGAGCCTGATGCCTCTTACTACTGCCAAGCGCCTGGGATTCACGAGTTTTAAGCCAAGTAGAATAACTCTTGTGCTTGCCGACCACTCTGTCAAACATCCCATTGGACTACTTGAAGACCTTCCTGTCCAAGTTGGGAGCACTGAAATCCCTACTGACTTCGTTGTTTTGGAGCTTAATGCTGATCCAAGGGACCCC